TGCACCGCCGCCTTCCCTTACACTGGCCTCTGACACGATTGTAAAGCAGACCCTAGGCATCATATTACCTTATTTCTAAATAACTTCTGGTGTGTCTCTAAAAGGTAACGATTTGCTGTTTATTTTTATTACTACAATTCCGTTAATACAACTTAAAATTTCCTTAATCTCATCTAATATCCTGGCAGGATTTAGATTCCTCTGATTGACTCTGATTGTATAGAGTGTCTTTATACAGTTGGTTTGTCCATGTCAGGACTTAAACAAGTTTCATTCATTGCATTTGATTGATATGTCTCATGTCTCTTTTAATCTCTAATGGTTCCACCTCCCTTTTATTTTCCCCTGCTGTTTGTTAACCTGGGCTTTGGTTCTGTAGAATTTCCCATATTCCAGATTTTATTGATTATCCCCTTGTGGTAGTACTCAATATGTTCCTCGATCCCTTTTGATTTCCTGATAGTTTGATCTAGAGGCTTGTTTCTATATAGGTTGGATTTTTTTCCCACCAAGAATATTCCATCAGCAGTGTTGTGTAAATGCACCAGACAGTACATCATTTCTGCTGGTCTCTTGTAATATGTGAATGTAAGATTTTTTTTTTTTACTATTAAAAAAATCATTTTATTGGGAACTCTTACAGCTCTTTCTTTTTAATCATTTTATTGGGGGCTCTTACAGCTCTTATAACATTCCATACATCAGCTTTATCAAGCATATTTGTACATATGTTGCCATCATCATGTTCTAAACATTTGCTTTCGAATAGTAAGGTTAAGTAATTTAAAAAGGTATTGTCAGCTTGATTTGTTCATTGTAAAGTTCTTCATCAGGGTTTTCACTACCCATGGTTGCTGCCTAGATCCGTTATTTTGTTAGAAGTTACAAATTAGTTGTATTCTAATTCTGTTGTTCCTTGTTGGCTTAGAAGTGTTTTTTTATAAAGGACTCTATCTCATCAACTATTTGATTACCTTGAAAACTTTTGAGGTAGCAGTATAAATGATTCTTCTCTATATTTATCAGCTTTGAGAAGAGTAAATCAGTTCCCCAAACATCAGTAAAGTCTATTTTAACAAACTAGATGATAATATTATTTTAATCAAAAGTTTGATTTTGTTCAGCATTTGTATTTCTAAAAACTTAAGGTTTTAGGGGTAGATGTTTGAAATCATCTAATCCAGCCCACCTGAAATACTTAGCCAACCCCTGGAACAAAAATGCCAAATGAATTTTGTGAGCAATGATGAGATTTTTTTTTTTTTTTTCAAAATTATCCTCATTAAAATCAGCCCCATTTCAACAACTAGCAGTGCTTTATAATCAAGTCTCATTTTCCTTAGCTGGAGTATAGGAAACAGTTTTTAAATTTAGAATTGGAATGAATAACATGCACTTCTTGGGATACAGTCTCTCTTTGTTTTATTGTGTAAAGTATATTTGCATAAAGACAACATCTTTTTTCTTCCTTGCAGATTATTCATCTGCTCTGGGGGTTGGCTTTTACTTGACACCCTAATCTGGTGTTTCGATGTTTCAATCCTCTCTCCTGCATTAATTGAGAGGATGACATGGATGAAAAATAAGCAGTAGAAACTGATGACTCCCCAAGGACCTGTGATCCTGTTTTTATGCAAATATCTGTAATCATAAAGATGATGGCGAGGGAAAAATGCAAAAAATATTTGTCCTCAAAGCATGATTATTTGTAACTTCCCAAGAGCATTG